AGTAAAAGATATTTCTTTTAGCATTCTCTTTTCTTGTATTTGCTAAAGCTCTGTGTGTAACCAAAKRTTRTTYARATAGRTTTCCTATACCTTATCTTTCCGCAAACAATCTTGTAAAATCTGTATTGATCTTCTCTATCAATATATATTTTAAATTTGAAAACTTTGTGTTTGTATTCATCCCCCCCCCCTTCTACAAACTGTTTCTAATCTTGTAGACCCTTTCGGGACCAACAATATATATATATATATATATATATATATTGGTTCAAATGCTAAACAAGATTATCGTGTTAACTTTGTTAACCGATCTTGGCCGTTAATTTGAATAATAAACGGTTGTGATTTAATGATATTTAAAAATTAATTATTAAATTAATATTTTCAATTAACATATGTGAACAAAATGTCAAAGGGTATTTAGGTAAAAAGTAATCTATCTTTGATACACGAGTTGTTAGACATATGAACAACTTGTGTATATCCTCAAAACACATCAAACAAAAAAGATTAGACATATGAACAACATGTGAACCATATGAACATCTTCTGTATATTCAGGAGCCAACTCTGTTGTATGTACATGAACACCTACGAAGCTTGTGTTCACATGAATCACAGATACTGTTCATATTCATGTGATGTGATTATGCATATGCATCGATATGAACATCTATTGCCTTTGATATGTGTTCATTTAAACGAATTCAAATGTCATACTAATCACTTACCAATAGGAACGCTTTGATCATTTTCTTCATTATCGGAATTCGAATTGCGAATGTGGTCTTAGACAATTTTAACTTAGTCATTTCCATTGTTGTCGATCTGTTCTACAATATGTTAATCCATATTACTCGGACGATATGAAAATCTTTTGCACTTACGAAAACAATATCATTATATGGAGAACATCATTTGTAAATTATGATCATGAACACGTATGAAATCACATACAATATTACATCATGATCAATTGGTGAGATTTTTTAGATTTGTAACTCCCAATTAATTATTTGGGAGTTACATAAATGTCAAATTTCCTAATTACCCTTGTATTTAATATATGAGTTACATTTGAACATAAAGAAAAGATGGAATATGATTGGTTGATCTTGGTTAGCATAGTTAACACTAATTTCTTGGTTAGTATTTAAACCAAGCTCTCTCTCTCTCTCTATATATATATATATGTATGTATGTATGTATGTATGTATATATGTATTTAAACATTTTTATCCGCTAGGGAGGATAATCCTTGACTAAGTGAAAAATATCAACACAATTATAATACTATGAAAATCATATATAAGAGGAATAAAAGAAGCGTGTATGAGTGAAATAAGTAATGTTTGTAGTACATTTTTGGAGATATTCACATTGTACAAAAGATTGTCTTTTCAGATGACCAAATATTTTGTTTTTAAAGTTTTATAAAAAGATAGGATAAAGACTAAAAAATGCACATAATATGAGGATATACATGAAACTTTTGCTCGAGTCAAACAAAAGAACTTTATTTTTCCAAGGAATGTACAACAAATTTTCCTTTTTGAACAACAATTTTTTTTAGGATCAGATAAATTTCCCATCGGATTCTGAATGAAATCCTATACACTCAACAATACACAACTTTTTAAGTCCAAGTTTTCTCACTCTCTTGGTTTTGAGATTTCTTTGGATAGTTTTACAAATTTCTTACTTTATTATTTATTGAGAACAGGATCCTTTTAAAAGATGAGTTGAAAAAGAAAAAGAAAAAGAAAAAAAAATCCTAGAGAGAGAAATTGAGAAAATGATTGTTGATTAAAGTAGGCAAAAAGATTTGACAAGAAAAACGAGATTTTGGAATATTTTTGGATAAGCAAGAATATCCAAAACCATGTTATGATTGTTTGTGAATTGAAAACCAATTCAGAAACCAACATTGATGGAAAATTGATTCCATTCTTTTTACATTATTATTATTTTTTAATATAACCGTACATATATCAACATAAAGATACACAACTTATATATCGTCATAGGATTTGGAAGGATGAAAGAGATTGTGTACCTTACTGCATGACTTAGAACTTCTTAGGAGAAGACAAAGGTTCAGAAGTAGACACAACATTAGAAGCATTGAAGGGCTTCCCCAAAATCCGACGATAAAGTGAGGTTGAGTATATACTATAAGTTAGGACTCAATACCTCAACAATGTTTAGTATGAATATTACGTAAGCATCAATGTCTCCATCAATTATCAGTATATGCATTGACTATGCATCAGAGTATCACCAAGATTATTAGCATTATACATCACGTTTTGATAAAACAATCCTAGCGGTGCTAGTCTATCGTACATCATGTTTGATTAGTGTCCCAACAATGTTCAGTTATTACATGATGCATTAAGCAATAAGTTTTCAACCATGAGATGTGTGATTGCCTAGATTATGCACAAGAAGTTATCCAACGTATACAGAAAAATTCGATAGTCAAACATGCTACCGCTATGATGTAAAGTAACAACATTAGTATAATAGAAATACATAATACATGGAAAATTATGTTAATACACAGTGTAGACCGCTAGAGTTTCAGGCAGGGGATAGAACAATGTTGAGGTCATCATTTTGAAAAGGCATAGTCATATATGTTAAGCAAGGTAAATAAAGTCCAAAGTTTGTTGGACTGAAGGGTTAGTTGCAAGAGTTGATAAAGTATACATATCAACCAAGTAGACGGATAAGGTTATAAGTTAAATTCTTAACACTTTTCATGTGTCGAATTCGACAAAATGTGTAGCTAATGAGTCCGCTGTCATAAATTTGGAAGGTGTTGAGGTTAACGATACGCTCACTTATATAGAGGAGACTGTCGATGTGTTGGTCAGAAAGACAAAAATATAAAGGAACAAGAGTACATCTTTGGTACTTGTGATGGTGTTAACGAAAATTAGCATTCTAAAGGTAAGAAATGACATGGTAGCCAAAAATGAGATAAAGATTAAGGGGCCGTTTAAACGCTTACCCGAGTAAGCATTTGCCGATTCACATTAACTTACCGAATGAATATAATAAGAACCAAAAATCTTGCCCGGTAAAAGCGAAACTAGGATCAAGAGTTTTACCCGGTAAGTGAGGGCGACGACTCTTACCAAGGTAAGCGCTTAACGGGTAAATTGTTGCATATGATATCGTTTTGGTAGACTAAAATCTTATCCGATAGGTAATTGATGGTGTTAAATTTTATTAGTAAGCACTTACTGGGCAAGTGTTTGGTAAACGACCCCTAAGACTCTTCAACAACTTAACGAGTATAATATTCTGACAGACGAAATTCTTTAAAGGAGGGGAGATTTATGACACCCCAAAATGGGGTAAATAGATAAATATGAAAAGGAAGGGAAAAACAAAAGGGAAGCCAAAAATGTGAAGAAAAACATCAAAAGGGCCAATCATGCCAGGAAAATGAGAAATAAAAAAGGAGTTTATGTTCAATAGAACCAAAAATGAAAGAAAATTTTAAAACATGGGTGAAAATGTAATATTGGGCAAAACATTGAAGCCAGGGACCGAAGTCATTATTCAATAGTTCAGGGGGTGTGTCAGATGTCAAATGGTTGAATCTTGAGGGACCTGTTTGGTAAAAAAGATATTTCTGAATTTTGTAAAAGACAACTCGATGCTCATCTTTGAAGAACACTATCGGATTGTGTAGTCAACGAAAACAAATTGCAGATATAAGTATCCACTATTGTCCTCTCCATATTTGGTTCAAGAAATTTCAGAAAACATGGAGAAACGAGGGAGAAACCGGAGCTCAAATGTAACACCCTAAAATTATTTATTTAGATGAACACACACACACACAGATATATATATATATATATATGAGATAGATTGGATCCAAACAAGATAAATGAAGGAAACTATGACTTAATAAGAAATCACGCAACAATGGGGAATAGTGTAGCGTTTACACAAAAGACGACAATTGAGACGATGAAAACAACCTACTAATCTTAACTATTCTATGTTTAGATTAAAGACGGGTGTTCCTCTCATCTTCTAAAATTAACGTATCGATAATCGATGTAACACTCAAGCACCAAAGGCTAATTTCAAAAAGAAAAAACCTTTCACGAACCAAAGCTCCCCTCAACCCTTTGGATCCCCGCCGCTAAAGGAACCTAACATACATGCCAATATACAAGAAGTGTTAGGCTTACGCCTAGTGAGTCCAATCATGAAGTCGGTCGTGATCTTAAGCTATTTATCTCAGAAATTACACAATAATCGCAATGCCTATTTCCGAGTGGTAGTGAGAGGATGATTTGGAAGTTAAATAATAATCACAATGTCTACAACCAACTTACACCATCCCTCACATAATTAAAATAAAACCACCTCCAAGTCCATAGATCCTTCAGATTTTGTTCATATACTTGGAGACACTAACTTGGACATAAACAACACTGTTTCAACTTTAAGACTATGCGTGAGTCCTCAATTAAGGGGAATATTTCTATATTGCCATTAAAGATCTCCAGGTATAAAACATAAGAGTTCTAGAGTCCCATAGTAAATAGTACCTTAAATTAAGCATTTTACCAAGTGGTCATGTCTATTTCCAAAACTCATTTAATTTTTATAAGCAAGATCCCCAAATTCGCCCCATTTTAACCTAGAATCTCCTTTTCCATCCCATCAGGTAAATACATAGAATTAAACTATAGGGTAGTTAAATACATTCACATTAGCACATATGAAATTTCATAAAAAGATAGGATGAACTCACCTTGCAGGATTTAGGGGAAATCCTGAAAATCTTGGAACTATAAGGAATGGAAGGGAGGTCTTAATTCAATGAGATAACATCCTTCACTAAGAAACAACAACTGAAGAAAATTGATAGGGAAGAAGAAAGGCGCAGGTTGTCCTTGGTGCGGCACAACGACGCAGGCGGTTCAGGTGCAGTGCAGGCGCATGCGATTCTGGGTGCGGTGCAACGGACTCCGAGCTGGTCAAGGCTGGTGCTCTATTTTCCCCCAAACCAGTAGCTACGACTGCTTCAAATCTGGTCAAAACTAGCACTTTATTTGCGTTTAAACCAACAACTGTGGCTGCTTCGATCTCCTGGTCAAAACCAATGCTTTATTTGAAATAATATCACTAATGCTATTGAGAAGGGAAAAATGGTTTATAACCAGAGGATTTATTTACCTTTGCTTTTGATTTAAAATTATCTGAGAAGAGTTATGTGGTACCAGAGGGGCTCTGGTTGTTCGTTGAATGGAACCAGAGGGGCTCTGGTTGTTCTTTAACAACCAGAGGGGCTCTGGTTGTTCTTTAACAACCAGAAGGGCTCTGGTTGTTCTTTAACCTGGACCAGAGGAATTTTGGGTTGATCTTCAGGGTCAACCAGAAGACCTCTGGTTATGATAAAAAGTTCTTGATTTTGTTTTCAAACCTTTATTTAGAACCAGAAGCTCTGCATGTGCTATGCAGAGACTCTGTATTTGAAATCAGAAGTTCATGCCAATTATAAACTGTTTTTATACTTCTTTCTCTTATTCAAACTTAGAAGCTATAACATGGAATTCCTTTGGCAAAGTAAGACAGAGGAGCTCTGGTTGACACTTATGTTTAAACTAGAGGACCTCTGGTCATATGGGGAATTCAAATAATTGTTGAGTTTCTTCTTTAAGTCTTTATCTGGATAGATGATCCAGAGGGGCTCTGATTGGTAGACCAGAAGCTCTGATTGTTAGACCAGAGGGTCTCTGTTTTATCTTGGTTGTCTTAATTGTGTAAACCTATGTGGTGTAATATATATTTCTTTTGAATGAAATATATGTTTATATGAAAATATGTGAAGTGGGGTGTTACAAATTTTTATGTGCATAAATAACTTTTATGCTTATGTCTTTGGACATGGTTTTCTAAATAATCCTAATATACTCTCCAACAATTTTGTTCTCGTTTTTGTGCTTAAAAGCAAAAGTGCTCTCTTAAGTCTTATCCTATATTGAATTTCGTGCAACCCAGACATAAGATCAAAATATCAATTCGGAAAGTGATTTCTTACACGATTCTCAAGTAATAAGCTCTTGATCGACCAACCCTATTCTGATCCTATATTTCCCTAACACCCTTTAGGTCTTGATTTGTTTGAAAGGAAATGGAGAGTTGATTCCACTCCTTGTTCGAACTTTTCAAAAAGCAAATGTTGGTCGATTTAACTACTCCATTTTCTCCTCATCAAACTTTTTAAATAGATATGAACCTATCATCATGTATCATATCATGTTTTTGATATAGTAAAATATTGAAACAGTTATATAGATAATACTGATTTAGAAAATATAATTGATTGATTTTACGTTGTTAAATATAAATTATTGGCATTTTGACGTATTCAATTTTGTTTTTTTATTATAAAAACTATTAATTGAAGTTTCTAGTTCTAGTCCATCTAGGACGTAGCCTTTTAGCTTGATTGAGATAACCTTACAGCAACATATGGTGCAAGAAAATGATATATGATTTACAAAATGTATTCGAATATTTCAAAGAAGTGGAACGAATTTTTACTGATCCAAATTCTAAAATATGAATTAATGGAGATATTTTGATACAAACAAATGACCATAAATTGAATTAATTTCAATGAATATAATCAAAGCAACATAATCCAAGTATTTATGGTAATAAAATATTGATATATAAATCATAAATTATGTATTTAAAAGAAAATAGACGCTTAAATTATTTTATTTTTTTAAATCAAGTTGTTTTTATTTAACAAAGATTTAAATTGATATTTTATATAATTAAAAGTCATTTATTCAATAATTTTATTAAACAGTTATTTGATTCAAACAAAAATATATATTGTGGGTAAGGTGATCATTTTTGACATTCAGATTGTTTATTCAACACAAAACAATCAAACAACAACTTATCTGCTATTATACATACAACTTTATCAATACACATAACTTTATCCATTCATCTTTTAAGGAAAAAAGAACCGTATAATCTCTAAACAAAATGAAGATGCTCTCAATAATTGTTCTAGGTAGCAAGAGGGACTCCATGTATTTTACGCCCTCCATCACTAAGGTGACAAATATAAGATAAATGTTTTATAACTTCCGGACCGGGGGGGGGGGGGGTGGTCATAAGGTGGCTTCGACTGTGGTTAAACACTTAAGATCGGTCCTGACATTTTTAAGGTATTGTATAAATAAAAAATAAATGTGGGTTTTTCTCTTCTTTTAATTATATTGTTTATTAATTTTTATTACTAAATTTAAAATAAATCTTTAAAATTTTGAATATATGTGAAAGTATAAAATACTTATAAATAATATCAAAATAAAAGCAAAATAACATTTACATCATTAAATTGATGACCATAAATTTCTTATAGTCAATTTTTTTTTAACGTTTAGAATAATAATATTCAAAACCTCTAACTGGAAGTATCTAATCTTATATAGAATTAACATTTTATCAGTAATTACAAAAACACGTATCAGTAATAAAGTTTTACTGATTTATCACTGTCAAGAAAACATTGACACTAAAAATTTGATATACGTTTCAAGAACTACATAAAAATAATCAACAATAATAAATAAAAAAAAACTAAATTATATTTAATAATCGAACAAAATCACAGGAGAAAATCATTATAAAACATTAAACATTTGTTTATAGAACGAGACTTGGACTTTTGAGTCTTTGAAACTACAAGGACATGGTTTGCAACTTCATAATGACAACAATCAAAGATTAAATAGACAACTAGGAATTTTAGGGTTTTTGGTAGCTAATTTGGAAAAGGAAATTAAAAAAAAAATAAATAAATAAAAAGACTCCTAAACAACAAGTAGCATGATTAGGAACCATGTATCTGTTAAAAGAGTTAAAAGGGAGCTTGTCAACTCAACCACTGGATAACTTGTGTAGATAAATGGATTTGTCATTTTATATTATAATTATTGTTTGGGTAGAAAATATCAAAGTCACGCCTGACGTAATAAACTTATGACCAAGTATATATATTGCAGATAAGAACTAACGACTAAAGACCTTGAAGCTAACGGTTGTCATTTTTTATGATAATCATATGATATTCTCGACGACTAAAGATACTCGTATTGTTGGTCGTTACTATATTGTTGGTCGTTACTAACCAACGAAGATCATATATTCTGAAGACCTTATCACTATTAACTCTCGACAAACAATGTTTTATAATGTAGGTATACTCCCATTTAAAGATAACAACCATAATTGAAAGCACGCATTCAAGAACATTAAAGACAAAGACCGTTGCTGACGTCAAGACTCATAAAGACGCATTTATGAAAATGACCCCTATATAAACAAAGCTCATTTCGAAGAAAAAGACACAAGCAACATACAGATCAAACAAGCAAATTTGCTCAAAGCATTCTCTAAGCTCTCAAGCACGCTCACAATTTCTCTACATATGATCATATTGTAATCTTTGTACTTATGATCATTGTCACATAAGGACGACATCCCTATTTGACGTCACTAGTGGATCGACGACATTTACTGTCGTTCACGGTTTTTACCCTCGACAGGGGTTTTCTATGTCACCAAATTCTTGTTTTTTATTTACTTTTTTGTAATTGACGTGTGTTTATTGAAGAATACAATCTTTAGTTGTTAAAACTCCACAACGACCTTAAATTATTTTTATAAAGTAATTTTTGGCATAAACAGTTTGCCACCCACCGTGGGCCCCCAACTAAAGAAATTCTTCGAAAAACATCCGTCTTTCAAACGATCTTTGTCAAGTTTTATCACTTTCAGGAACATGGCCAGTAGCGGAGGAAATCATGATGTTCTAGCTCAAATAAGAGCAGAACTGGAAGCTGCTAGTCGGTGTATCGATCTATTAGACGAATAAAATCGCAAGGCTCAACAAGAAATCTTTAATCTGAGGAACCTGGATTGACAGCAAGACCTCCTTTCAATCCTATGAATCCTCGTAGGCCTCCTCCCTATATAGGGAACCCAATTTTTCACCCCGTAAGCACTCCTGCAGTAAGCACTGTGCGATTGCCTCCACCACCACCTCTGATGCAACATATGACGTTTGTTCTGCCTTCTGTGATAGGAATCCCCATCATTGCCTTTCCCTTCAATTGTCATACCTACAACTACTTCTTCCCCAATGCCATCATTCCCCACGTTTTCAACATTTCATGCCTTGGATATCCCTGTGTCTGGTCACAATACAGAATCAACCATGCGACGGTATCCCATATGAAATTGGATCTTACGACTCAAGGCTCAGGTGTCATCCCTCCTCTAGTATCTATTCCAATGGTGACCAATGGCGTCAATCATAAAGATCCTATCGTACGATGCATGAAATAGTTAGAAGAGTAGAATGAGAAGATGTTGTCATTATCAAAATTACCAGGAGCTGCGTCCCTGTTGACGTGGAACCTCCAACAGGGTTCCAAGCTTCGCCCTTTGCCGATTCAATTGCCCTTATCGGCATTCTTAAAAAAATACGATGTCCCTGCTTTCACTCCAAAATACTCAAGAGTGACGGACCCAAATGAGCATGTAGCTGCTCAATATAAGCAGTTTATGTGGACAACATCGATCCCTCAGCACTATCAAGAGGTGTGTATGGGCAAGTATTTTGGAGCGACACTTACTAGAGCCACTTTGAAATGGTTGATCAATATAAAACCAGAATTGATCCATTCTTTCGCTGAGCTAGTCAACCAATTCTTCGAACAATTCTCTACTAGTTGCAAGATGGAGAAACAACTTAGCAATTTGTATTATGTCATTCAGAAGAATGGGGATTCGATGCGGAATTACTTCAATCGTTTCAATTCTGAAATGATTGGAATACACAATTGTGATATTCGAACAGCAATTGAAGCTTATAAGCATGCCCTAGACAACAGTATAGAGTTATATTTGGATTTAACCAAATACCCGACAAAACTTTTGAGGACGTCACAGCCAGAACGCTAACTCATATGCGCGTCGAAGATAAAACTGCCTTCCGATATAAGCATCTTCACGACAAAAAATCTCCTTAGCGTCAAGAAAGCAAAATTTTAAGTCAAGACCTCTCCAAAGCTTAAGCAGTCACGACAGATCTCAAACGTTTAATTTTGACAAATAGAAGGATGGCACAACGATTTCGGACCACAACATCCAAAAGTTTTGACGTACGGATTTAAAGGAACATCAAAAGATCTGATCGATGCTCTAAAAATGTTTAATTGATGATCAAGTGGCCAAAAAAGAGAGAAAAGCTTAATGATAAGAAGGATAAGTCGAAATGGTGTGACTTTCATGATAACTATGGCCGCTTGACGGACGATTGCTTGGCTCTAAGAAAGAAGATCACTTGGTTGGTCCTAAAAGAACATTTGTAAGACCTAATGACCAACAATGTTAAAACTAACAACTCACAACCACCATCCCCTGAGTATATAAAAGTCGTGAATTGTATTAGATGAGGATCATACATTTGTGGACTAACCTATTCTGAGGCAAAAAGATACGTTGGTGAAAGTCTTGATGATACGATGATCTTCAAATCGCACATGTCAAAGGAAGAATCGGAGTTGGAGGCAATGCCATTATCTTTCAACCAAGACTACTTGTGCGACCCCTGGCAGAAACATCATGATAGGTTGATCATTCAACTCACAATAGGGAATTATATGATGAAAAGAATCTTGATCGATGGTGGGAGCTCAAATAATGTCATATTCCTTAGCATAATAAAAGCTATGGGATTAGACAAAGTTGAAATCGTAAATCTAATGAATGTTTTGGTTGGTTTTAATGGTGACCCGACCAATAATGTTGGTGAGATAGTTCTTCCAGTCTATGCAAAAGGAGTCAACAAGTAGACTAAATTTAATGTCATTGGTTGCTCATCGTCCTATAACGTGATCCTTGGGCGACCATGGATTCATGACATGAAAGTTGTCTCCTCAACGTTTCACCAGATGATCAAATTCCCAACCTGTTGGTCCCAAAAGGGTCTACAAGAATACTAAACAGTTTGTAGAAGGGGGGGGG